ATTGGTTGAGGTTAGACATTAACATCGTTAGATGCCGACTCAGTGGTCTAGAGGTTAAGCGTTCGCATGCGAGATTGAAGAGCCTGGATTTGAATCCTGTGAGGAGGATCGTGGATGAGCACTGTTGAGTAGTTTTACAATGGGACGAAACGGTAGTTCAGTGATTCTAGGTTTTCAATGGTGGTCTATCATCAATCAGATTATGGTCTCAATCCAAAACTTAACTCTTTATTTACCATGTATCTATGATTAACTGGTACTGTAATGAACAAAACATGAGTGAGGACAATCGAATGTATTTGAACACAAAATTACAGAGCATTTCAATGAAATCTGAGAACCATATAGTAAACCGTTAATTTGTAAAAGATCAACCCATAATGTCAAACTTGACCATTCCTGTCGCAAACATCAATCCATTGTCTCAGATTTCACTGTTCATGCGTTTTCATACCAATCGTGTTCCATCCCCATTCTTTCCTCATCGACCTTCTACTGAAATACATTCTATGCCTTACCACCATTATATACTACTTATGTAGATATTAGTAATCCACACCACAATACTAATCCGGATTCATTCATTCTTTCTTTTAGTAAACATTTGAAATACATCAAAGTTTTAACCAACAACAAAAAGTATGAAAATTTAAGAAATTCTATAAATTTATTCTCTTTGGATTTTCTTTTAATTAAATACTAAATCAATAATGTAAAATAATTATTTCTACGGGTGAATTGTCTATTTCTTAGTAAACTATGAATTGGTACGTTACTTTTATCAGTTAAACAATACCAATTCATGATATCACTATAATGCTAAAAAATTTTGATATCCGGAATGTTACTAAGTGAATGAGAAATATGATAGGACTATTGTTTACTATGGTTTTAGTGGTTTTGTTTTAATAATTTCTTGCTTCCTAGTAACCTCTCTCCTTGATAACAAACAAAAACATATTTCAATGGTTAAGATCATGAGTCAGTTGAAGCTAGACCACCATGGAAAACCTGGAGACATTGAACGGCCGTTTTGTCCTATTGTGGGACTCCTCATCAGTGCGCATCAACGACCTCGCCCCCTGCGAGATTCGAACTCAGAACCTACTGGTTTCGCGCGCGAGCACTTAACCATGGTGGTCTAGCTTCATCTGAATCATGATCTTAACCATTGTAATTACTATAATATTCACAAAACCCATCTGATATTAAAAATATATTTGATTATAACAAACATTGCATAATGTCTGGGTATGTTTAAGGAGAATGTCAAAATAAGTACTGGTGTGATATACGCTACTTATGTCGACATAAGTAGTATACAACACCAATCAGTAGTAGAAGAGAACGGGAATAATGAGTAATTGTTATAGCAATGAAGAAACAATGACGTTTAAGACAGATGATCGAAGATTTTCAATTGAAATATTATGGTATGGTTTTCACATCATCAGAATAGGATAAAAATAATATCTAAAATACTTAAAATTCATCTGAAAAACAGATTTATTTAAACAGTAGTATAGAATGACTTTTGTTCAATCAATATCTCATTCTTGTCATAACTTGATAACATTTAATGTTTGACAGATCTTTTAACATGCTTATTTCGAATCACTTGTAATCTTGTTTGAAATTTACGCTTCTTTAGGTTCTTATTGACTAGTTTGGAATCTATTTTCACTTTTATAAAACTTTTAAGAGTCATTATAAGTTAATATAATGTTAAAAAAAGGGATAATATACATTTCTTAGCAAAACTCAACATTTTCAATATCTTATAGTGGAGACTAAACATTATGATACCCTTTTACAATTCGATAATTCATTAATAAAATCATTTTGTTCATATAGAGAGTTATCTGTGGTTTAGTTTTAACAATGTTGTTGTCTATTTTCAGCAATAAACTCTCTTTTCACGAATGTACCGTTAACAAAGATGGTGGATTTCCTTTGTGACTATATTTCTACAATCTTTTTCCTATTCCGTTACCATTGTGGAAAGAATTACTTTTATGATGTACTTCTAATGTTCAATTCAAGTTTGATTGTGAATATTTTTGAAAAGTTGATGGTGTAGCTATGGGTAGCCCCTTTAGGGCTTCTCTTAGCTGATGTATTTATGTCATATGTGGAAAATTTGACGAGCGAGCTTATCAGTGAGGTAACTCTATACAGAAGATACATGGATGATATTCTAATTATATGTGATAAAGATTTTGATGTTTACCGATTATGGAATAAACTCAATAGTGTTCAAGACGATATTGTGATGGCATATGAAGCAGAACATAATGGCCGATTGGTTTTTTTTAGACATACTTTCAAATCGAAGTAATGGTCAGTGTATAGGAAACCAACCTGGACGGGAAAATAATTAAATTTCCATAGTTTTTGTCCATTGCAATACAAGCGAGACCTGGTTAAGTGTCTCTTTAAGAGGACTCAAATAATTTGTACTTCTGATACAGTGAAAAAAAGATAAAAAGTTACTGACTGACACATTAATAACAAATGGTTATCAACTAAAGTCTATTAATAGGTGCATAAGTCAGTTGTTGCCAAGACCTCTTGTTTATCCAGTTCCAAAGAAAAAAGCTTATATCAATCTACCATATAGAGGCGAATCCAACAGTATAGTTTTAAGACAGAGATTGAAAGCAGCCATCGAGAATGCCTATTATGCTGCTCAACTGGTTGTGATTGAAAAGTCTAAGCCCATGATTACTAATAGACCTAGACAATGCACTAATGATTACGTCACATCCGATTGTATTTACCAATTTACATGTTTGCGTGGACATGCATACATGGGGAGGAGTAATCGAATAATGCAATCAAGGGTCAATGAACATGTGTCTAGATGGCTTCAAAATCAGTGTGTTTCACATGATCCGATCAACGTGGGAGGTAGTAAACCAGGTTCATCGATTCCGAAATATATAATTGAAACGGGGCACAAAATTGACATTACTACAGCTTTTAGAACGTTGTACAGAAATTGTTAAGGACGAATTCTCAAGTTTACTAAATTTAAACCCCCCTTATGTGTACAAAAACAATTTGTCGTAGCCTTGAATTTATCTTGGTAATCCTTAAGTCATTCTATGGCCTAGGATAACGCGACAATTTCTTATTTTTTCTCTCCCCTTTTTTACTTTTTACTTGAACTTTCATTTAATTAACCTTGATTAATTTTCATATAAAATGCCCTGACAAATATATGTGTGACTAAATTGTTCGAAATGTATAGCGCAAATACATCACATTTTTCAGATCAACTCTGTCTTCTCATTGTTCTATCGGAATAAAGAAAGCACCGATTTTTTCATATTTACAGATAAGCTATTCTAATGAACTTTAATTATGAACGAATATAAACCAGATCGTTCTTGTCGAATGATATTCATCACTGAAGATAAGAAAAAATACAGCCCAATAGTAAATCATATACACAAACAGCCATATTATGACTAAACAAAAACAAACAAACGAACTGAGTTATATTGTTTCATAAGTAATGATTTCGTGTCAAAAAATTCATTTATTTCTTAGCAAAATTTATTATTTTCAGAAGGGGATTTGAGAAGATTGTAGTAATTTCAATAGTTGAGATCATGGTTGAATTGAAGATAGACCACCATGGAAAACTTGGACGAAACAGCCGTCTAGTCCTTCCAAGTTTTCCATGGTGGTCTAGGTTGAATTGACTCACGATCTCAACTATTAAAATTTATTATATTCAGTTATTTTGAGCAACTGTTTAACTATCTCTTTCATTACATATCTTTACTAAAAACATTCTGACATTTATAAACACTTTGATAAAACAGTAATTTTCATCTATTCTATAATAATTCGTGGATTGGTTGAAGTTAGACATTAACACCGTTGGATGCCGGCTCAGTGGTCTGATGGTTAATTGCTCACGAGCGAAGCCAATAGGTCCTGGGTTCGAATCCCGCGGGGGAAGGGTTCATGGGTGCGCACTGCTGAGGAGTCCCGTACTAGGACGAAACGGTCGTCCAGTGCTTCCAGGTTTTCCATGGTGGTCTAGCTTCAATTGACTCATGATATCAACCTGTGAAATATTCTATAATAAATTATTATATTACTCTTTTCTCATTAATTATCATTCATATACAATGCTTAATAAGAGCCAATAATTAAAAGCCATTTTTATACAAGAAAGTTAATCTACATTTGATCAAATCGTTTCACAGTATTTGAGCATCATGTTGACATGAGACATTAAAAAGGAAGAATGTATAGATTAAAATGTCAGTAAAGGAATTTGAAATAAATTGAACGTTTCACTTAGTAATCTAATCCAAATGATTTCAAATAGCAAAATTATCGAATAATTTATTTTACTTACGTTTTACAACTACATTCTTTTTTTGATGAATCAAGTGCTTTGATTTGAAATTTCTAGAATGCTTAGTGATTATTTTCTTGTATTCTTTTTTTGTTTAAAACAAAAAAGCAAACAGTTAATGGTTCAATGATGGATAGTGGCTATCAGCAGAATCCAAGACGCGCGTTTCGTCCCATTTGGGACTCGTCAGTTGGATGTACTGGCATTTCAGAGGGTTGATATTCACTCTGGGACTCGAACCCAGTACCATTCACTTCAAATGCTACAGCGTTATCCACTCAACTACTGAATCCTAATAGCCACTTGCTTGTGTAATGGGATGAGTTTGAATTCCACAGTATGTACATATTCCAATAACAAACTGATCAATTACAGTCTTAAACCACAATGGGAAAATACAAGTCAAACAATACCAAGTGAAGTCAATGTTTCAGTTACCATTTATAACAAAATTGAATCTTTATACATAGTACAGAGTAAAGTAAATGCACAGATCATGACATTTAGTTCTTACAGGAATGATTACCAAGTTTATTTACAAATAAATAAAACAAACAAATAGCTAAATGATAAATACAAATAATGTTTTTTACTTACTATTACTATTGATTATTTAACTTACCATCATCATCATCATCATCATCATCATCATAATCATGTTTGAATGTATCATCTAACTCCAATGTATCATTAATTGAGAACATTAAAAAGAAATAAAAAATCATAGTTAACCATTGCATTATGAGTAGATTTTTTTGTTGTAAATTTTCACCAACTAATAAATGGACTGTTTCTTTTCTTTTTTTTGATGTGTGGTTTCTTTCCTTTAATCAACTGAATATTAAATTATACAAATGTATAACAATTACTATTACTACCATATGAGATTCATTTTTATCCCGAATAAAATTTTCATATGTATACTTATATTGTAAAAGGTATGAGATCTCTAATTGGTTAGTAATATACATAATATGGATATAGAATAATGAGCATTTTTCATAAACTATCACTCTCTCTCTCTCTCTAGTAAACATTAACAATGGAAATGATTATTAAAACAAAAGTAGAAAAAAACAATTCATCTAATGTCAAACTGTTTCACAGTATAGATCTACTGTTAAGGTAATGGATCAAAAAGCCATCATCAATGTATATATATATATATATATATATATATATATATATATATATATATATATATATATATATAGTAAGTTTTCTTTAATGGAGTATGTTCGTTCCATTGTTAGTAAAATAGAATATTATTTATCCATGAATTACTTAGGGAATGCATTCACAATTGTGTTTTGTTTTTTTACAAGTGATTGTTTACAATTACATGTTATCATATTATAATGGGTATTTACATTTTACACAAAAGTGAAAATAGTCAAACACTGATCATTATCGTTTGTTTTTCTATTATTATTATTACTTTTCTATTGTGAAATGATCACAGCATTATTTATTATAATTATGATGATTGTAGTACATTAATGCTACTATTATATTGAATACAATGGATCAAATCGAGTACTGATTTAAACAACAATGGATATATGTTATTTAATTCATATTGTTTTCAAAATAACAGAAAATATTATGTATATATGTTGATTGATTTAGAATTGGTGATTGAAAGAAAAAATTAACATTTCGAAGACTATACTTTTACTTACTTACGCCTGTTACTCCTAATGGAGCATAGGCCGCCGACCAACATTCTCCAACCCACTCTGTCCTGGGCCTTCTTTTCTAGTTCCATCCAATTTTTGTTCATTTTTCGCATGTGTATTTCCATTTCCCGGAGTAATGTGTTCTTTGATCTTCCTCTCCTCCTTTGGCCTTGAGGATTCCATGTGAGGGCTTGTCTTGTGACGCAGTTGGGTGCTTTCCTCAATGTGTGTCCTATCCACTTCCAGCGCTTCTTCCTGATTTCTTCCTCCGCTGGGATCTGGTTTGTTCTCTCCCACAGTACGTTGTTGCTAATAGTGTCTGGCCAACGGATCTGAAGTATTTTGCGTAGACAACTGTTAATAAACACCTGTATTTTCTGGATGATGGCTTTCATAGTTCTCCAGGTTTCCGCAGCATACAGTAGAACTGTCTTGACATTTGTATTGAAAATCCTGACCTTGGTGTTGGTTGACAGTTGCTTTGAGCTCCAGACGTTCCTCAGTTGTAAATATGCTGCTCTTGCCTTGCCGATCCGCGCCTTCACATCTGCATCAGATCCACCCTGTTCATCAATGATGCTGCCCAGATATGTAAAGGTTTTTACATCTTCCAAATCTTCTCCGTCAATTGTGATTGGATCGGTGCATGTTGTGTTGTATCGGAGAATCTTACTATTCCCTTTGTATATATTGAGACCTACTGCTGCTGAGGCTGCTACCACACTGTTCGTCTTCTCCTGTATTTGTTGTTGCGTTTGGGATAGAAGATCCAGATCATCTGCGAAGTCTAGATCGTCAAACTGCATCCTAGATGTCCATTGTATCCCGTGTTTCCCTTCAGATGTTGACGTCTTCATGATCCAGTCGATTACCAGGAGAAAGAGAAAGGGTGAGAGTAAGCAACCTTGCCTGACACCGGTCTTTATTTCGAACGACTATTTTGAAGACTATATTACTATCTTAATCAGTAGTAATACTAATACTGGTCGTAACAGTAGTAGTAATTGTTATCTTAAAGTTGGATAGTCTCTAACAGATAGAATCTAATTCAAATTGAGCAAACTTACTTCTCCTGATGAAGTTTAGAGTATAATGGATAGTATTTCTATTACCACTAGAATATGTAAGCCAGTCTTGTTGGTTATGAACTGATGAATACGGGAAGCTTAAGATCTACAATTTGCAAAATAATGAATTCATTAGGCTTTCTTTACAAAAACAAGACAAACTAATTCGCTTATAAGCTGAATGAAGTAAAAAAAAAACGTTGTGTACCTTTGTCATTCTTTTTTAAAATTCAGTGGCTTAAATTAAATAGTAGGTTTATTAACAGAAAAGGTACATATTTAATCCATCAGATAGTTGTTTCACTAACCATCAGCTAGTTGACTTTGATTGACTCTAATAACCGATACTTTTTGTCAATTCCTAACAGCAGATATTTCACTTCTTTGAAACAAAAACAGATCTATTACCAATCAGGATACAGTAGATCTGACTATTGGAATAATAAATGATAAATTACTTTGTTCCTTAATTTGATCTTATAAATAAGTAAAAAAAGTGATTGAAGCATGTTTAATCTGCGATATAATCTTGGTTGAGATCAGTTTTATAATAAGTAGTTGTAAGTATGCGATTTAATCCCACTGTTATGATTAAATTAGTTTTATTGAAATAAATTATTCATCATCAAACAAAGATTACGACTGCATATAAATACTGGATAACCATCGGGTTATTACATAAGTTGAGTGAACTATGAACCTCTGTATTCCAGCATTATGATCTAGAGTATACATAATAGCTATAATTTTCAAAGGTCCTCTTTATGTTGATAGTTTGTTATATTGTTAAGTTTCGTACTTAGGTGAAGCAGTTGTCCAATGTTTTCTGGTTTTAATGATTCCCTACTTAGTATCAATCTGTAGTTAAAATAATCTTGTGTTTAAGTCAGACATCCATCTATAGAAGAAGGACTACTTTAGTCGTTGTGAATATCAATAACATCACTTAGTAAACAAGTGTCGATGTACATTCATCCAAACAGGGTGGTTACATGTATTTCATAAATCACTCATTATTAGAAACTTACCACAGAAGAATTAAACTATAATATTGATAATGCTCAAATTCCATCCATTTCAACCTATGAAAATGATGTAGTCTATTCTGAAATTTTCCATCACTACTATTAGATGTTCATAAAAAGCAGTGAAATTATATTCGTTTAATTAATTAATAATTTCAACTTGAAATGAGTAAAATAAGTGCAACATGGATAAAATACCAAAAAAAGAATTAAATGAAAAGCAATGTTTAATATTTAGAAGTTCTCTAGCTGATATTTAATTGAGACGAATGAATTTAACATACGTTGATGTAATTTAATAGTTGAATTCATGAGTCAATTGAAGCTAGACCACCATGGAAAACTTGGAAGCACTGGACGGCCGTTTCATCTTAGTATGGGACTCCTCAGCAGTGCGCATCCACGATTCCGCTCCGTGAGATTCGAACCCAGGATCTACCGGTCTTGTGTGTGAGCATCTAACCACTAGACCACTGAGCGGGCATTCAATGGTGTTAATGTCTTACTTCAACCAATCCACTTTGATGTGTCTAATTAAGTATAGTTGATCATTAATTTTAACTATCAACTCTTTGTTGTTATTGATTTTCATGATCCATTAACTATGTGGGATGTTATTTTTTTCGTTAGTTTAGTCATACATCCAGTACACGACAATTTATCAGTGGATTTTCGTTTACTGTTTATTGTTATTTTAGTACAATAATCAAATGGTTAATCTAAGAATTTTTAGATTGCATATTAAGACAGTTGCTTACCATATTCTACTAATATTCTTTTTAATTTTGAACATTAATACACATAAATGAAGCTATTGTGTGTGCTGACTAGTGGATAGAGAGATCTGAGTGTTTGAAGCAATTATATATATACGTTATCGTTGAGCTATCCAGTATGTACATGATCTCCTCAAAGATTGAGACATTTACAATTGATTGATCACAGATAAAATAAGAAGCGTCTTCGAGCAGACTTTTGATAGCACTTATAGATGAGGTGTTTTAGTTGTGTAAAATGAACATAGTAGTCCTAGATTTAATAAAACACTGTTTGTTTTGAACCATCACTTACCAATAGCAAGACAGATTTTGTGGTAGAAGAGGAAATAACAGATGTGTTGGTGATATCTAAAATTTACAACGAAGTAATTAGCTCTTGAAATTTTCCCTGTCTATAAAATTCAGACAAAATACTGATTATTATACTTTGGTCTAATATAAAGGAGCTCTAATTAGATAGTTAGGTTGTTGGGTAAACCTCAATGATTCTGAGAACTACAACAAAAGATAGATGATGGATAGTTGCTAGCAATCAAAAACAGGACACGCGTTTCGTCTTCGTAGGGACTAGTCAACTGTGTGTACCTACACCTTAGTTTTGATGCTTACACTGAGATTCGGAGGTAATACCATTCGCTTTAAACGTCCACTTAGCTACTAATTCCTAATAGTCTCTAACCTATTCGATGGGTATAATTAAATAATTAAATAACTCTAAACTAACTAATTTTCATTCAGAATCCTAAGTTCACACTAGCTGTAAAGACCGAAGTGTAGGGTAAATCTGATAGCTTAACCTTTTTGTTTTACAGATAGTAAATTTCATAGGTAAGCTATTGCATGATTCCGTGTAATAAAGGAACTTATTAGAGTAGTAATGTATTTTGATTGCGCAACAAATTAGAGGTTACTCTCATAGAGTTAACTGTAAAGTGAGGAATAGTTGTGGTTAAATTAATCACGATTCATAACGAGCAAACTACTTAAAATCACTCGAATTATTGTTTAACAACAAATAATAACAGGCATTTTAAAAAACAAAGTCGTAGTTATGCACCTACTAACAAATAAATAAAGTAGCTGAATATTATTATATGAAAAAGAGAAGGAAGGATGTTCACTTCTATGAACAGAGTTCGAAGTACTTATTATGTAGTTGGTATTATATTCCCTTAGTTGTATGGTTTATTTATGTGACTTTCGTTGGTTTTCTGAACAAAACCGCCATCATTCTTTCGAATGAACTGTGAACTATTCGAATTTCAACACAACTAACTAACATCTTTTACCTGAGTTACAAACACCCTCTATCATGTCAACTTATTTAATATGTAGACCTAACGAGTAGAATCATATTTTACCTTTTTCACAAGATATGACCATCGTCAAAAGTTGACACCAACTTATAAACTAGAAGATCGATTCAGTCAGTTTGAACTATTTATTTACAATAACGAAACAATAAAAATCCCTATAACTACCAACTGTTCCTCATTTTTTTCGAAATAACTTTGAATCGAAATTTCATTTAAATTTATAGCAAAATTGTGTGGGAGCTAATAGTGAAATTCAGGACGAGTTTTTCGTCCTGTTTAGTGCTCGTCAGTTAGATGTACATATATCCGAGTATTAGTTTTCACTATTCGGAAACGAATTCCGTACCTTACGCTCCAAATTTTCAATCCTCCGTCCTCTTAGCTACTCAATTAAGTGAACCACTGATTGTGTTGTGGATCATGATTCATTTATATTGGTTGTTTGAACCTACTCATTAATATTCATTCAAAACTACTGTTATTATTTTTTTCGAACATTAATCGCAACACTATACGGGTTAGTAGTCCAATTCAAAATTCTGAAAACTCATTTAATAGATACAAGGTTAATGTACTAAACTACGAATCACATTTGCTAGTAATCGGTAACTATTGACAATACTGGTTTCCTGAAATCCTAATAGATGAAAAGGATTTCAAATATATAGGGATGTTGGGAATTTATGTAGCTTAAGAAAAATTAGTTTGCACGATCATAAACTCAAAACTATTTCACCTGAAGCGTCTTTTTCTAATTTCCTCTTTCGTTGGAAGTTAGTTTGTTCTCACCCATAGTAGGCTGTTACAGATGGTATCCGACAAACGGACATTGATTATCTTGTGTAGATAACTGTTCATAGATACTTGTCCTTTTTTGATAATGATTGCGGTAGTTCCCCAAGTTTCAGCTCCGTACAGTACGCCTGTCTTGATGTTTGTAATGAAGATTCTAACTTTGATGTTAGTTGACAGTTGTTCTGAGTTCCATATGTTTTTCAACCGCAGGAATACTGCCCTTGCTTTGCCAATCCTCGTCTTTACGTCTGCATCAGATCCTCCATGTTCATCGATGATGTTGCCCAGATACGTGAAAGTTTCCACTAATCATACTATTGTTTTTAAAAACAGGAAATATTGTAGACTAACTTTACATGGTTTACCTATAAATAGTAATGCTCACACCTCTGATTCTATAGTATCATGGAATGTATTCGAAAAGGATGCCTGTAGGCAAAATGAAGGCTACACATGTGTTGAGTTATACAGCATCTGAAAGATATTTTGTCAACCATGATCTCACTTCATAAACTCGAGCTCTGGTCACACAACGTATCTGCTGTATAATTTGCAAGGTCACAAATACACTAGCATGGTATGCCCAACCACTTGGTCAGGAACAAAATACCGGTGACCAATTTCATTGACATAAAAAACGAGATAGCTATGGAAATGTTATGATAATGAGTGCATAAATGTGTTTATACTTTTCTCAACGGGGTGACAATGAACTAGTCAAACAAATGGAAGTTTCACCAGCAAATCTCAACTTACAGAGTTTTAAAATTTATACTTTCCATTATAGTAGCCATTAGCTCATTGTGGTGGAGTTATATTACAAATCAGGTGAACAATAAAACATCAACTATAGAATCTCAGCTTAGCAGATTAAAATTATTGTATTTGTCGAGAGACATAAATATTCTTAGTTTAATCCTACGAATAGCTTTTAGTGCGCGTTGCTGAGAAACTTTAAACATGTATAAAACAACTGTCTAATGTTTTCTATTTTTGGAATGACATTCAAGCCAATATTCATTCATCATAAACGAAAACTCTACGAATTATCTGAATAATTCAAAACTAATTTAACAATCGAATGTATTATACATTACTTCAATGAATTTCATTCTGCTCTAAATGATACAATTGTAGCGTATTCATCAGTTCACTATTCCATTAATACTATTGTTCATAGAAAAGTAACTAACTTAAATAACTGATGGATTAAAATTGAATTAATTTACACATTTATCTACTAGAATTAATTTCTACTCAAAATTATAGAAATAGAAAAACACCCCAGTTGCTACAACCAAAACAGTTTTTTTTATTATTATTCTAATATGAACGACAACGCTCATGAACGACAAGTCAGTTAGTATACAACAAGCCAATTCATTCGAAATGAAGGATGAAAACCAAATGAGTGAATGTTTGAAATGGTTTGAACTACTAATTAATTATCAAATTGAACCAAGGATAAACATCTACACACACACACACGAACGCATGCACATACACACATATAAGATAAAAGAAAAATATAAAGAAAATGAAACAACAAAAAAAACATCGCTCATTGATAACAACACACAGTAAAAGTAGTAGGTTACATTTGAAACAGACAAAAATTCAAATTGATTTATTGCACAATAGAATTAAACTATTTCACAGAAATTGAAAGCGTCAAATTAAGTGAATAACACACATTCTATGGCTGTTTTTTTAATACTGTGGACAACAACCAAGATAATAATCCCAACCGTAATTATTTTCTTACAATAGAAAAGATTATATGAGATAAATATGATTTCTCATTTCAGAATTAACTCAACTAGGTATAATAAGTGTCGATAAATACAATCATGTTTTATGGAAAAGTAGTTATTAGATCAGCTGATTGGTGTTATATATATGTATATAGTAGGTATCCATTATTTATTCGAATGACCACAATTTACACATAAAAACAACAAAATTAAGCAAAGTAATTAAAAACTATGTAAAGAAATATAATGAAACATAAAGAAAAAGAAAGGAAAAATAGAAATTTACATATGAAACCATATTCAATGTTCCTTCCATTATATGTCGATATTGTAAACCTCTGTTTATTGGTGTTTTCAAAGTTAAATTCACAGCCTATATATATATGCGTGTGTATGTACAACGAAATGGGAAAAACTGAAAAATTAACGTTTTCCATTTAATGAAATAAGTATTAAGTATGAGCTACAGGTGATCCTGTTAGATTAGCTGAAGTTGGACGTGTTGTATTACCGGTAGTATTATTATTACTGATAGTTGAATTACTATTATTACTAGTGGTTGGAACAATTGAACGACGTGATTTTGATGTATCTTTAAGTGTTTTATAATTATTCCATCTTTCATTAATATGTTCAGTAAATGTTTTACCATTAGATAAGAGAAAATGTGATGAACTTTTCAATTCATATTGTTCAATAGCTAATATTGCCTCTTTTTCAGTACGTTCTACTTCTTTCAATAGACGTTTTTTCTCTTTTTCTGTTTTTAATAAAATACCTCCACGATTAGAAAATATTGATGGATCTTTTAAACGAGCTTCAACATCAATTAATTGTTTCCAAGACGATTCATATACTGCAATACATTCATAGACAGGACGATATAAATAATAGGTTTGGTTTAATTGTTCTAATATAGTCTCTAAGTGATTAATTAATATTTCTGGATCTTGTTTATCACTGTCATTTGGTAGTTGAATAATTTTCTCATCTACACAACATAAACTAGCCAATCGTAGAGCTTCACTTTCAAGACGAGTTAAATATGTTTGCATATTTTCCCATTTCATTTGTTGGCATCGATCAACTTCTTCCTTGAAATAAAAAAATATGAATAAATAAAGAAGAGTTGGATAGTGTTTCTTTTTAAATAAAAAACATCATATTCATAAATTTTACTGAAGGAAAGAAAAAAACCATCCAAAATGCAGGGAAAGCTGTCATTATGATACTGTGAGATTGACTGTGAATGGATCAATAGAAATGTCTTGATACGAATGATCCAGATTTTCTTAATACGAACATGAAATAATGCAAACTCGATGATAGTCCAGTTATCGACACACAACAACACTTTAATGTTAATAATTTACACACCAATAAGAGGTAAAGAAGACTAGACTAATAAGATAGCTCTATATTACAAATAAAGGTCAAATTTGGAGTCCAATAACTCTGTCAACATAGTAAAAAAGTATAACCATGTTAAACAAGAAAATTGATAAACTGAAAGTGATAAATAGTTTTCCAAAAACATTTTCTCCTATCCCATTGATTATATGAACTTTGAAGTTCTCTGAATAGTATATTGAATGTATTACGTATTCGACTATTGACAGAACAGAATAGGGTTGATATTAAACAAGTGTTAAATAATTATATGAATTTAGTAGAATTAACATTTTACACTGTACAATTCCCATGAATGATAGAATAATAGATAAAACCAACAAGTGTTTTAAATTATCATGTTGACACTCGAATGAATGAACTTCTTCGAAAGTTTGTTCTGATCATCGGTCGTAATCAGTTGGAGAAACATGTCACTGTGATAACCTCTTCATAACCATCATACAATATATGAATATTAATCTAAATTGGAAGTTGAACTATTGGATCATCTATTATCTCATAGTGTAATGAATGAACACTAAGATGAGGAAGACCAGTTTGTTTATTAATGCAAGTTTACACTGTCTTCGTAAAATATGGACACCATACATTAAATACATCAGTTGCACATCTTCGTTCCTTCATTCTTGTTTTTATTACAATTATTCTTCGTTTACACTCCTATTCACGTCAGTTTCATCTTCTCAACCTTCTGTTGCCAGGCGTTCCACTTCTGATTTGTGTTACATACTACTTATGTTCGTCAGCATAAGTAGCATGCACCACAATAGTATAGGGTTCAGTATGAAATCTGAAAGATTTTAGTTCAATCTCTTACGTGTAGTGATGAATCATAAACTGCTTAAAAACCCAAAGCTAAAATAAAACAGATATTTACTACTGCTTTTAGTTTTCTATCACTGTCCATATGAGTTCAGTCCATATTGAAAATTCAGTAATCTTTACATAATACTATTCCATATATTAATAGACTACACAGGATCACTTTCTATGGGTAATAAATTAAAACACAGCAGTCCTACAAATAAGTTATCTTTTTTAAAATAAATTTTATTCTTATAGCGCAATAATTACAAAATAATATTTGAAATATATCCTTCTTTATTGATGAATAAATTTTATGATCATCTGAATATACTATAGAATGCAACTGCGCCAGAGTATGTCGATCGCTACTTTGCCCTTTTTTTTAAGAAAAAAGCATACTTAACGATAAACAGCGAACCTCATGAAATAAAATAAAAATATAATGAGACTACCTGAAGTGCTTCCAGTGTTTCAGGTTTATAACCAGAATGCATTTCCAGGAATTCTTTTTGTTCTGATTCCGGTTTATCTAATCGTTTCCACATTTGTAACAGGTAAGCTCTTAATTCTTCACAGGTACCAACTAAACGAGCTTTCTCTTTGACTAATCTTAATCGCCAATCAGTTAACCACTGACAAAGAGATGAAGAGGAAGAGAGGTGTAAAAAAAAATACAGGGAGAAAAGCTCTAAAACTTATTGTGAGATGTATTTTCCATGTTAAAAACAACGACAATAGAATGAAATCAATGGTATTATTGAGTTCTAAAAAGAATTACGACAAATATCATTTACGCCTATTGGTCCTCTAACACATTCCATATCAGCGCCCAATCGGAAGACGAAGATAGCAAGCAGCTCAGTTCTCCATTGAACTCTATTTAATCGCGACTTAAAACTTATATACCTGAAATGTGTGACCACGCAGAGATACGAAAAAAAGAATTAAAACGCATACATAACTCAGTCACAAATGATAAAAAATCGTAGTATTAAGAAAATACTTAATTAATGGTAAATCTGGAGATATGTGAAAACGGTTTAGGGATCAAACGAAATCTTACAAATAGGAGGTTCCAAAAATAACAATACAAGAGCTCACTAGTTATGCAATAAAAGTATAAATGGTAATCCTCTATATGTTAGCTACGAAAGTTATATTTTCACATTACTCGCCGAATTACATCACCCTGTATCAATGAAATCTTGGCAGCACATATGCTGTAAGATCTGCTTTTAAGAATGTTCGCGTTAAATGAGCTTAAACGGTTTAACCGAGAATAAATAAACACCGTTAAGATATGTCAATAATCATACTACTTTTTGAGTCGACAATTTTTAACCAAAGTCTCGTCGTAAAAGCCTTGGGAAAAATCACATACATACATGTGAGTCAACGTCAGTTTGAACATTAACCAAAGATGGTATTCCACTAGGACAATGTGTAACCGCAACGAAGGTAATAGTCGGACGTCGAAAATCAAACACCGTTATATTATTCAATCGGTTTTGTAGATAGATTTTTATTCTGTCGTTTGTGTTGTTATTCATTAAGGTAATTTATTCAGTGTAAAAATTACAGTAACGATAAACCCTTATCATTACATTAAACTTATTTCATTCATTAAGTTCTATGGATTTAAAAAAAATGTTAATACAATGATAAACTAAAGTACAATCTAACAGTTTGATTAGTTTAGTCATTAAGTCTAATGTACGATACTCGTTTTATATTACGGATCGATAGAATTGTATTTTTAGACGCCGATCTAGTGGTCCTGACAGTTAATAGTTCAATACATTTGAAGGTTTTGGATTCTATTCTTCATGGGGTAGAATTTGAGCACTACTACGAAAACCCATAAAAGACAACTATTCAACAATTCACAATTTCTGGTGGTACCAAACTAAGATCAATTTGTGATGAATATGATCTTCAAATTTTGTTTGAATACTAATTAATCTTTCAATGAAATAAAACTGAATGAGAAGTGATGGTTTCTTATATTTTTTCTCAACTAAAATCCAAAGTCAGACAATACTAAGCTCTACGATGACAAATAGTATATATCCATATAAACACTTGTCTCAATCTAAAAATAACTGTAGTAAAAACAAATTCAATTTTTGCACCATATAAATTTCATTTGTGATAAAAGTGGATGAGGTATTTTATTGTGGTTAATTTACCTTACTTATAAGTAGTTACAAATCTATTCAGAAACATTTACAATTGCATAGAAATTGACAATGTATGCTAATGAATTACCACTATAGAGAGAAGGATCTATAATATCACAGCTTAAACTTACTATTTGTAACGCCTACATTGTAATAACTTGCTGATTATTACATTAATATAACAAGTAAATGTATTGTAGAGACAAATATGCGTAGGCTGATGAGCATTGAACAAACTAAAGTAGTGTCAGTTGTGGTGTGTGCTACTTATATTGACATAAGTAGTATACAATGTTAGTCATGAACAGAAGGTCTGGCAGCAGAGAGACAAGAGGATCGAACAGCAAAGAATGAAAACAGGATGAAATTTGTATGAAAATGCAAGAACAATAAAGTCTGAGTCATTTTGAGATAATTGATTGAAACATTTTGCAAATTAAGTATTTACTTTATGATTATTAGATTTTATTAACAAGTCCTGTAATTTTGTGCTAAATACATTCGTTTGTTTCTACTGGTGTTTTTGTTCACTACAATAAAAAATCTCCATTACTAATCCGAACATATACATGGGGACCGCCCCCCCCCCAAAAAAAGATATGTACTGTTGTTAATCTTAGGCTGACAGAATTTTTCATTCATCCTTAAAGTACATGACGAAACAATTTATTGTACCATTGTTGTTCTGTTATATTTAGAAAGTGAACTTTAGATATTATGAATTAAATGTTAAAAGGATACGAATTGATTGAAACGATTCGAAATCATCATATCATAAAGGGAATAAGTTAGAATATGAAACTAAGCCATTACATCATTAAAAAATGTTATTGTCTGGTATAGCAGTAAACCAAAATATAAATTAAGGTTTGTCAAACCAAAATTTAACATCAGTTCATGAGCTCATTGAATGCTGAAATGATTCATGTAGGTAGGTAGGTGCAAGCTATCTGGTTGGGAGTTGGTGTGTGACTATTTTAACCAGTGCTTGGAAATATTAGATAATGTAATACAGAATCGATCGTTATAGCATAGATGTTTTCACTATTTGGATCGTCTTAAATCTTGAGTATTGAAATCATTTCATACTATTTTTCTTTACTCAATCTTTTTCACTACTTCGACTATTATTACTGTCACTATTTAATTGACTGACAAAAGAAATTGAACCTGTAATCTAGTTAAGATAATGATGACAGTAATGAAAAAATAGATATCAAGAAAAAAGAAAATACTTGTTTCACTAATTAACTGGAAAATAAGACTATGTAAAAATCGATAAACAATACTAACACAAAAACATTACGTCAAATAATTTGAGTTGAAACATTTATGTTAACATTTTTACGTGGTAACAAAACATTTATAGTTTATTTTTAAGTAGAAAGGTATATTTCAGAGACAAATGGTTGATTAATTTCAGTCAAAACATAAACATTTATCACCCAACTGTAGCTTACATATAATGATGACTTGAGTGAACTATGGTGGATGAAACATTCGCTCATTCAGATCCTACCATTATTTAAAGGTTGGTTGAACAGCAGTAGGGCTAAAAACAGTAAACTAAAGGTCTGGGAGTGAGGTCTTACTCCTAACGGTACAGAGTTGTGATGGTAGTAAGATGTTTACCTCAAATAACCTGCATCTAAAGAGATGCTGCATTCTCAGAGCGTAAGGAAGAGCATTGAAAAATGTCGATTGTAAGAGTAGTAAACCTCACCTTGACTCATATACTTCCGTTGTTGACGGTAATATCTAAAAAGTACGGAGCTAGCACATCACAAATACTATTTGTCATGAATCGCAAACAGTTATCTTTTGGGCCCAGCAGTCAATCTCGCAGGTTAACAAAACTATTCCAAACCCCGTTTCCCTTTTATGTCCCTCAAGAAGAAGTATCTTTGCATGATGTGATGAACCAGAAAATGATAATCTTCACCATACCTTTAACAGTACTCAAGAAATACTTCAATATTGATAGTTCTAACTAATATACTAGACTGGTCAGTTTGTGAAGATTTGAACCAGTTGGTGTTAAACCATAATTTTTGATACTATCTTTGATATATCCTTTCTATTCAAAAACTGTTTCTTTCTTATTTTTTATTTGTGTGTATTACTCTTTCATTTTTTAACTAACTATTTATCAGCTATCAGTCAGATGGATTACAGCAAGAAAAACACCTATAGCCCAACCCATTCAGGAAATTATATTAATCTCTTTTTATTGAGATCATGAAACGATTAATGTTAGACTACCATTGAAAACCTGGAAACACTGGACATCCGTTTCGCCCTGTTGTGGGACTTGGTTCCTCAGCAATGCGCATCTACGATCTCGCTCACCGACATTCGAACCCATACTGATAATTATATATTATTCATTATTACTAGAAATGTATGGATGTTATTTAGACAGATTTAAACAACATATTACCATGTGTAGTATTATTATAAATAACTCTAATAGTACACAATTATTTAGAGAGAAAAACGTTTTATTTGAACAATATTAAAATCCATGTGAAAAATATCTTGCAAATGTTTTAGGTTAATGATTTGAAAATAAAATGATTATCAGAATGGGTTTTTGTGGAGAGTTTATCAGAACGGTGCGGGATCGTGGATGCGCACTGCTGGAGAGTCCCATACCAGGACGAAACGGCCGTCCAGTGCTTCCAGGTTTTCAATGGTGGTCTAGCTTCAACTGACTCATGATTTCAACTTATAAAATGATTATTTGATTATCATAGATGATATTTATAAACAATGGAAATAACATGCCATATACATGAATACACTGAATTAAATAGAGTTTTACATTAAAAGAATAAATTATAATCATAAGAGAAGTGACCAATTCTTTTGTTTTTCATCAATTATAAATAATGAATATTTCAAGTTATTGACCTTATGAACTAGTAAGATGTCTCGGCAGGATTGTAATAGTATTGACAAATTTACTTTTATACTGAACAAAAGAGTAGATTGTGATGTAGATATTAGACAGATGTATGAAGAATAACATGATTTAATTAGTTTAATCAGTTGGAGTTACAAAATCTTACTAACCATGAATTGATTACAATTTGTGGATTAACTCATTCATCAAGTAATTAGATATGAGCCACATTCTAAGTTTGAAAGTTAATAACAGCACTCGCTTGCAGAGTATGGACTTGAGAATTGATAATCAAAATTTGAACAGTTTAATATCAAGCCCACTGCTCTACTTTTACTTAACAGTACTGTTATATCTGAGCGAAGAATAAATCACGAGTAACTTCTGAGACATATTAATTGACTAATATTATCTATACATTCTTATGGTATAATTATTCAATAATTACATTATGGGTATTTATATTCCTCTTATTATAAGCTTCATCTTGACCTATAATTTATTGTTGTACGATTTACTGTTCTTAAGTTATGTTCAGTTTATTGACTATTACCTCCCACGTTCACAGCCACTTTTTGGCTTTATTGTGTACAAATGTTATTTCCTATTTTATACTGTGTTGCAGTCTGTTTGGTTGATATATAAACCCCTTATGTCTGAAATAAATGATTCGATTCAAATCGATTCGCATAGTGGAAGCTGGTATTGGTGTTCTGGACTTGAGTGGACGGGCTAGGTGGACATAGGACCAATAAGGACGCTAGGCTGTTCATACCGATCGAACGTAATTGTTTTGGCACAGTGCTAAGATTGTATTAGTCGTATTTTGATTGGTGGATAAATCACGTGATAAAAGCCGGACATAAAGTCAGAACAAGTACTCTATGTTCAGCATCAGAATCTTTCATTCGATAGACAGAATATGTAACTTGAAAATAAAATCTTAAAAAACTAACCAAATACATAATATCTACTTACTCTAAGTATCTCTTTATTTACAACAGGTTCATATGTATCATGATTATTATCTAAACCATTTGTAGTGACTTCTGAGTTTTCACTAGGTGTAGATATAGGCATAACACAATTTGTTCCATCATTAGCTCGTCTAACTACACCAGGAGTTGAAATTGAATTACCATTTTTGCACAAATGTTTTAATCCAACAATCGTTAAAATTTCAGCTTCTTTATCTGATTGTGGTTGATAGAAAATATCAGCTGCGACACGAGCAATATCTTCACGAAGTGCAGCATGTTGATTAGCTAAAGGTGTATAAATTGATTGTAGTTCTTCATAAATTTCAGTAAGTTTTTCAATATTTATTTGATCTGGTAATGTTTGAATAGAAGCTGAATAAAATTAATTAAAAAAGGATGTTATGAAACAGATATGTACACGTAATAGGAAGAGAAAACTTTTCATAATAGTTATTGAATAACAGTCAGTTCATGTACATAGAAATGTGGTCAAAAGTTGTACAGCCCAATATTCTTGATAAAACTAGCTTATTCACGTTGGGTGGTTGTAAAAAACTGTAGAACAATTAGAAGTGTAGGATGTGAAACAAATGTCATCGTAGAACCTAAAAAAATATAGAGTAGATGCATCCACGTTGTTGCAACCGATTTCGACCCAATAATATAAAAAGTACCTTACCATTAATTGCAGTTGTATTTCTGACCTTGAACGAGGTTCCTACAATTATGTGAGAAGATTAAGTCGACAGTCTTGTTTTTGTTACGCATAATCCCTAACCTATGCTGTATAATACACTGAGTTACTAAACAGCAGGGTATGCACAACATATCCAAACCGTTCTAGTTTATGAACACTCCTTATTTCTGTGGATGAGAACAAACTATCTTCCAGCTGAAGAAGAAATTAGTAAAAGACGCTGGGAGTTGACAGGACATACGTTACAGAAAACATCAATCTGCATCACGAAGCAAACACTGACTTGTAATCATGAGGGAAACGGAGAAGAAGAAAACCAAAGAACACGTTGTGTCGGGAATGGGAAGCATACATCAAAAGGATGAATAGTAGTAAGTGGGAACTGGAAAGGACTGTACAGGACGGAGTGAGATGGTGGATGCCGGTTGGCGGTCTATTCTCCTCCACGAGGGGTAACAAGTGTAAGTTAATTCGAAATCCCAAGTAAACATATTAAAGGTCCAAGTTAAGAAGCTACTGATCAAACAAAAGCCCCTTGCGTAGTATGATAAATATACATATGAAACTCAATCATTTTAAGATTTCCTAATAATAATCAACAGAATTTGCCGACCAAAGTGAATGAATTTAAAATAAAACAACTATTATTTTGGATATTATACCACTACTGATTAGAGATATAGTCGGTTGACCTTAATTAGATTAGCTGCACCAAACTATGGATTCTGATAAGCTATGTACGTATGGATGCTCAATCCTTACGGGTAAACATACAATGATTGCAGAACGCTCAATCAATTGATATAACATCATGAAGTGGGACTTCGTAGTAGCATTAATTACATAATACAACAGTCGCACTAGCCATGTGAACTTTGAATAACAAACTTTCATCAGTGACATAAATCAAATTAAATGTGGATAGATGTCCATTTTAGATTAATATCTGGCTACAAAGAGTATTGATAGATATTTGAATTCAGACACATACATTCGAGAATGACAACAGTAATTCAGTGTTTAATGTAAAAACTATATTTGATACAGTTTCAGCGATTGAATTTTAAATAATTCTAATATCTCACTCATCAAACTGAGTCTAAGATTCTTCAGTAATATAATCACTGAGATTATTTCAAATATATATTATGTTATATTATATTATATTATAATTAATGTCTTCTTTATAATCGGCATCCAAATTCTTTCAATTTATTCGCTTACATTTTGACGAATATCAATGTCAGTCAGATGTGCTTGTTGATTCAAATCCCATAGTGGTAGAGGTAGTAAGAGTATAAGCAGTGATCCGAAAGATTAGGGTTTGGAGATGTTACTCAAGGAATATAATACAGTGAAATAGATTTGGAAAGAAAAAAGAGACAAAGAAAATTCAGAAGATTAGAGTTTGGAAGAACACAAAGGGTAGATGCACCTGGACCACTGTAAACGATTTTAAGCCATTTCATTCAAGGTCTTTAACTATCGGTTGCTATCGTTTCGCGGATCCCAACCAGGTAGTCTACACTTACCAACAAAACTCAGTCCACTTGTCAATGACTTCATGGATTTGTGCCATGTTTCGGTCTGACCGCCCCTACCTTTGTTCCGACCTACTCCAACACTAGAAAACACCGCACGTCGGGGCAGTCGAGGGTTGTGCATACGTAACAGATGTCCCAGCCATCTCAACTGATGTTTTACTATTTCATCGATGAATTTACCATGCTTACCTAGTACTCGGTTTCAAACAACTGCATTAGTTACTCGGTGGTCCCAGGATATACGAGCAATGTTTCGAAGACACATATGATCGAATACTAGTAACCTACGAATATCCTCTACTCTTATCGGTAATGTTTCACAGCCATAAAATAGGACGGAACGAACTGCTGCGCAGTAAACACGTCTTTTGATTGATAGACGGATATATCGTCTACACCATAAATGACGCAACTTGGCAAAAGCTAGTCTGAAATGAATTTTCATTCTTTTTTTTGTTTAACCAATTTCAATTCATGATGGAAGTTTAGTGAAATGGAAATAGATGAACTTAGGAAACTACAAGATTTTGTTTATCAAGTCTATCACTAACAATTGTAAACATAAAATTAAACTAATGAGTGTTATATAATAAAGAGATAGACTGTTTATTAATTCATTCTTTCATTTCAACAGGACACTACTATACATTTAGTATTATTTCCAATACATTGATCAATTAAGTCACCCGTAAAAACAAAGGGTGAAATGTATGTCTTAGATTCCATTTGTAGCCACGCTATCGAACTTTATTTAAATAGTAATCAATTTATGATTAAATTAATCACTATTGTTTGGTATAAGAAGTGACAATATATCTTATGCTAAAATTTACAAATAAAGAACCTGATTATCATCATGTGGTTTGGAAAATTCAATTGGTAAGTGTCATGTTTTCTTATGGAAATAAAAACGACAATAAATACATGCATAAGAATCTGTCATCATTAATGATTGAAAAAATAATAATAATAATAAGAGAAAAATAGATTTTTTTTTAAAAATGACATAGATACTGATCAATTGTAATTTAGAATTGATTCTAGTGTGATGAAACCATGGAAAACAAATAACTTAAACAAATAACTGAAAATAGAAGAAAAAGTACATAACTGGAAGTTCAGAATGATAATTAAACAGGTGCACCGTTGTACAATGATATTACATAAACGTATAGTATACAGACTAGACAATCAGAATGGAGAGCGTGACTTTTGATTTTTTTTTTTTGGTGCGAAATTCAATAAACAGTATATTGCTCAAAACGTTTAGAATGATGACAAAAATATACTTTTTCTTGCCAGCATAGGGTTAAAAATGCTATTGTTAAACGTGTTAAATGTTCAGTTCTTTTTCTATAAAATGTAGATCATAGGCAAATCAAATCTATCTCTGAAACCTAACTCGAAATATTTATTTACTGACACAAATCTTAAGCTATTGGAGTTGTACTTTTATGTACGAATCAATCATAATTTATCTCTTGGATTTTTGAGTGAAATTCATTTATCCATATGCTTACACAGATTTTCTGCATAATAGCTGTCAGTTCATGACAAAAAATATTAGCCTCAACCTCCATTCTTAACTCCAACTATGAAAAATGTAGAGACTCTTAATAATATATTTTGGTCCTTTTAAATGTTCAAGAAGACAAAAAACCTATATCTATAAGAACGTTTTTATATCGTTGTTTTTCTCGGATTGGCAGGGAAAATCACTCGTGAAAAACTTTACTAAATTGATTATGTAAAATCTGTTAACACTTCAATATGTTTTTTTCGTAAACTATTCATTTACAAAAGCCGTTTTTTGATTGGCTAAGAACTGACTAAAAATTCGTGGCTGTTTTACTGAGCATGTTTATTTCGAAAATTGGTCACATGAAAATCAATATGACATTAAGATTTTCCAGTTAGCGGCCCATGTTCGAATGTTAATCATCGAATCACATTCATCATTTGACTACCAAAGTCCAAAATAAATCATTATTTCTACACTAAGAGACAGATATGGCTTATATTTCATGGAATAGTGAAAAAGACTGTAAGATTCAACAGTCTGGTAAAATGAGTGGTTTAAACTTGTGCAGAAAACAGTTCTAAAATAAGCTTATTAACTATTTAATAGAAAGTATAAAGTCGTGAAGATTATTGAATTGCATTGAAATCCTGCGCTGATCTAAGTTAGACTATCTTTTAAAACCTGAATGTACTGGACAGCCGTCTCATGCTGATATGAATATCCTCTTCAGTTTATACCTACGATCCCGCAGGAAGTGTTCTGGTGAGAATCCGTGACCAGTGGTGTTCAAAAATATCGAGTGTGAAGTGGTTGCCTACCGAAGACAATGGAAGAGGGTTGTATTATAGTGGGTTGATTGGAATTAGACCTTAACACTGTTGGATGCTAACTCAGTAGTCTAACGGTTAAGCGTTCGCCATTTAGATAGGTCTTGAGGTTTGATTACCACGTGCAGGGTCATGAGTGTGCATTGCTGAGGAGTTTCATACTAGGACAAAATAACCGTAAGATTCTTCTAGGTTTTCAAGATAATTTTGTATTGTCAAAAATTGCATAAAGTGGTAAATTAGTGGATAAAGCGCTCAATCATCGATCATCAGGCTACAATTTCGGACCCTTTAACATCAACTTTGGTTTAGATAGCTAGGTAGTGCCTACTGTAAGCCTACATTAAATCTTGTAGCTGAGTTCGAAAGGATAGACCTACTTTTCAGGAGGAAGGAGGTAATAAGTTAGGCAAATCCAAATATATCAGGTGCATATGCGCACAGGCTAATCCAATCTTAAATGATAGGTGAGATGTAGGTATACGCCAATTGGTTGTGTACATACTGATTTGGATCTCGGTATTATATATTCTTGTCCATTCCAGACTCCACATTTTACATATTCGTTTAGTTATCATGGGAAATGCGCAACATAACTGTACAGTTGTTTTGTTATGTGGTTCAATTTAGTTATGATGTATACTTTGTTAATGTTAAGTACATAAACTTTTACTCAACTCAGTAAATGAGTCACATGTTTATTATTATTATTATTATTATTATTATTATTATTATTATTATTATTATTATCACTATTCAAGATTATATCGCATTACTTACTAACATTAATAATGTATTTGTGATTAAACAATAACACAATAGAATATTATATTTATTAGGAGATAAAAACAGAACTGTCGTGTAACATATAGGAAATAATAATAATAACAACAGGTGAGCTGGTGGTAAACTTTGACTATTGAATATGGGTAGAACATATCGACTATGAAAAGTTTTTAAAAAAATATTTATTGAATAATCTCACTATTTGAATGTGTTAGAGAGATAGTTTTCTGAAGATGGCGTATTTGTTATTTAGATTTATTTACTGTACTCAAGTGTTTGGTATTAAATAATAATAATAATTATTATTAACTTGAGACATAAACTCTACCTAAGATCTAAGTAATCATGATTAATGAGTAGTAATGGTGCATTAGTGGTTAAAGTACTCAGCTTTCAAGTAATGAGTAGCGAATTCAAATTTTATACTACCCATTTCGATTTACATAACCAGATAGTATCACTGACGCCCTACACAGATAGTGTGGTTTAAATATAAACATATAGACCAGTACATGAGCAAATGATTGAGTTGGTCAATCACAAATACTATAAATTGTAAGTACTATAGCAGAATGAAACAAATGAGCACAATTAATTTAATACTCAATAGCATTTGATCCTTTGGCAAAAATAAAATAATGAAAAGTAATGTAATTGTATTACAAAACTAAGAGGAAATACAATATGACATTCTTCAGCATAGTAAAGTGTTGATATTTCGTTTTTTTAAAGTGGTAGACTGTTATACAAGACAGTGTGTTTCGCTCATATTCATGTTTCAATATTCTAGTCTGTAGAGTGTTGGATAATACCATCATCTACTGATCAATTATATTTTATATCGAATCATCAGATAAATTAATTTAGAAGCTAATAGACAAGTGTTATGGTATCATTACGTAGTACAATGTTTGCTTACTTTTACTCCTCAAAGAAGTATAAACTTTTAGTAATAATAATGTGAATCAAAACTATGAATTGACAAATACTCTGAAAAAGGATGCAAAAGAAACAACTAAGTCTATTTTTCAGATAAGACTAATATATCAGAAGGGGTTTTGTGGAGATTTTAGTGAGTTCAATAGTTGAAATCATGAGTCAATTGAAGCTTGACCACTATGGAAAACTTGTAAGCAATGGACGGCCACTTCGTCTTAGTATGGGACTCCTCAGCAGTGCGCATCCACGATTCTACCACGTGGTATTCGAACTCAGGATCTATCAGTCTCGCGCGCGAGCGCTTAATCTGCTGAGGAGTCCCATACTAGGACGAAACGGCCGTCCAGTGCTTCCAGGTTTTCCATGGTGGTCTAGCTTCAATTGACTCATGATTTCAACTATTGAAGACTAATATAGACAAATAATTCATAAGTTCATTCAAATTAAGTTGTTAAGTTGGTTATCGGGGATGAATAGGTAAACAAACAAATAGAACGGATGATATACGTTCCACTAGTCAGTTTCTAACACTAACTTCAATGGAAGTTCGTAATTACGTTAATTGGATTGCATTGTGTATTATAATTCTGTGACTTAACTTGACGGATAATTTATCCAGAGTGTTCACGCTTAAGAAAAGCACTTGACATTCACGATTTAGGATCCCAGAGTTTTATATTTTAGTAAAACTCTTACGATTAATTTTGATAACCGTTAATCCCTGTCAGATCCTTTCACCTGAAATACAATGTTATCGATATAGTAACGATTCGTTTGTTTCTTTGGATTAGTAGAATCGCTATCGTACCAACGTAAACATGTATATTTTAATGTTTTTACGACCTACGCATATTTCTGTCTAACTCAAATATTGATTGCTTAAATACAGCTCAATGTCTTATTCTCTATCCCTCATACATATGTCCTTGTATTATAAAAACAAACTGTAATTCGATTCGCCTTGTCTTTATTTGATATGACAATAAATTTTCCTTTATATTCGCCTGCAATGATTCGTTGGTCTTTTCGCTTCAAATCCGTCTCATGTGTTTGTAATCTTGTGGTCCACACGACCAGCTAATAAAATGTAGTTGCAACTACTTATCGCCTTCTGAATTCAATCCCGTGAGGTCCCTGTGCCAAACGTTATCATGGTTCATGTTTAACGAAGCTACGTGCACTACCAAAAGTTCATAATGCCTACTATCTAATTTGACAGAAACTTTATAAATTAAAAGGTTGTATACACAGCAGAGTGATTTCAAAAGACCCAGATTCAATCTTTCATGAGATTGATGATTCACAGTACTAGCGAGTCCGAGACTGTAACTACACGCCTGCTCAATAGTCTTTTTAATTTTCTGAAATTTCCAGATGAAATCAATATTCAAAAAACATTTTTCCTAAATTCAGTTATTATTCTAAAAGTGTTCACGATTAATTCACTAATAAGTATAAGGAGAAAAAGAAATCAAAAATACACTTACAAATTAGCGAAGGATCTAAACTTTCATATTCATTTGAATGACCATTTTTATCCGTGTTATTTTGATCAATACAATTCGATTTTCCAAAAAATTTTATAATCGGTGGAAAGGTAGTGTGAAAATCTATATCAAGCTTATGTTTTGTAATATCCGATATTTGGTCACCACCCAATAAATGATCTAAATGTAATATCTTCGATCGTAACCAACAATAACGTTCACATCGGGCACTTTTTTGCTGAATTAATTCTTCCGCTTTTTCATCCAATGACTAACAATGACAGACAAAATAGAGTGGGGGATAAATTTTATGAAAAGGACTATTTTCTAATAAATTGCATTTTTGTTGAGACTTTTAAATTAAATTGAATAGACACGTTATAACAGAGAGAGGAATACGACATGAGAAGACATCGATTTTGTATACATTCGTATAATTGACTAGAGGGAATATTTATTGCTGAGAATGCAATCGAAGAATCTCAAAAAGAAGGGGTTCGATAGTCAAAATTCATTTGGGGGAGAGAGAGAGAGAGTAAGAGGGCAAACCTTAAAGGTGACACATGAAAAAAAACGTAGGACTGAGCATGGTAACGTGCCGATTCAAATGGTCCAACTCAAAATATCGTCGTATCTTAAAAAAAAAACAGATTCTTGATTTGTACAGACTTGTGATCGGGCTATTTATTATGGTAGCATTTATACTATCCAGCCCAATTACTGACCTATTCGCCTAAATTGTCAATAAAACCAGTAACTTCTAAAGGAACGAATCACTAAAAATGAATAATAACCAGAGAATCTAAAAATTAATTGGCCTCTTGTAATCACAAGATTAAGATAACATGTAGATCAATTCTCCATTGTACTCTGTTCACGTATGAATGAAAAGTCACACAATAATATATCTTAGTAAGTGACCGCATAGTAACACAATTAGGAAATTGCAATGTATACTCAGCTCATTAATAAGCGATGCATAAACGAAATAATTAGCGATAAATCTGCGACAGTAAGACATACAAAAACGAGTGATAGGTCAATCAAAAAACTAACAGATAAGTGAAGACAAAAATACAATAATTCAACCATATAAAAATATACAACATCATAATTCTCTGTACAATAACTTTTGTGAGTTCAATTTTCCATAAATCCTCTTTCCGTATAGCAAAACTACAGTGAGAAGAAATAAGAATACTCGTCAAAAAGAACGGATAAAAAAACGAAAGAAATGAAAAGAGGATAAAAGGGAAGAAATTAAAATCAATAAGGAATTCATTTAACTTAAAGTACAATAAATATTAAACATAATAACATTCACCTAGGTCATTTTTTGAATCATATCAACCAGTCAATATAGATCTTGATCAATAACTTTTTTTGTTCAATATATAAATCAAATGAGCCGTTAAAATGTCTTAACCTTAAGTTTATTCAACTCTATCTTATTTCCAACTGATTTAATGATTTGAACTTAGCAATGGATATGCATATTACATATGGTAACACTTTTAAACCATTAGTTACTGCAAGTGATCAAATTTATTAAGTTGAAAAGAAAAACAAATGATTTTAATAATGTTCAATGATTAAAACAATATTTAAGTAGAGATGAACGGTGGCTAGCAGTAAAGTCCAGAACGAGCGTTTCAGCTGGATGTTCACTCTGGAATTCCAATCCAGTATTAATTTCTGTCGTAAACATCAATGGAGAAATCCAAACAATCAGTATATATGTGTTATAGAATTAAAACAGTATTTACTCCAAGTAATATCAATTATGTTTTTGTAAGCAATGATGGATAGTGGTTAGCAGCGGAATCCAAGACGCGCGTTTTGTCCTATTTGGGACTCGTCAGCTCGATGTACTGACATTTCAGAGTTGATGTTCACTCTGAGACCCGAACCCAGTACCATTCGCTTCAAACGCCATCGCGTTATCCACTCAGCTACTGAATCCTGATAGCCACTTGATTGTGCAATGGGGTGAATTTGAATTCACTTGGTATTGTTTGGCTTGTATCTTCCCATTGAGGTTTAAGACTGCAATTGATCAATTTGTTATTGGCATATGTGGAATGTAGAAATCACTTTAAGTATACAGTTACTTAAGCTGTCAATGTTACCAGTTTATATCTAGAATTTTTATTGAATGATCCTAATATTGTTCCCCATTAGATGTTGAATGTAATTTAAGCTATTTATAAATTAAAAAATACTGAAATATTTGGGATAGATCATGTAAAAAATCTAAAGAAAATTATGAAGATAAACCAATAGCATTAGACATGACAACTGTACAATGTAGTATCTTATTGATTTATTAAAAGTTCTAATAAGCGATCAGAAAACGTTCGATTGAAATTCTGATATGAAATTATTGTACACACACACACACAATTAGGACATTTTATAATAGATAAAATGAACAATGTAGACTAGTAAATATTTCCATTGAATCTTGAATTTTGAGATTGTTATGCGCAAAATTTCTTAACATCTATTTACTTTGAACAGTTGTCGAATCGATAAATTTAAGTGATCTCAGAATTGAAGATGTTGCAGTCTTTTTAGTTTTATGGATGTACTTTCATACATGATGTTTTCTAGATTTTAACCTTAACTCACTCACTTACGAGGTATACAGGTACTAAACTTCAAATCATAGCCTAAGTGTTAAGGGGCTAGTGAAACTACATAGTCGTCCAAACTGATGTAAGTGGGGTGGAATGTGAACCTACAGCTTTGAATCAAAATCGAACGCTCTATCCACTGAACCATCGCACCACTAATTGACTTCTACGTATTCAGCGTTCAACCTTCGTGAAACTACTTGTTCAAATATAAATTAATTAAAAGATAGTTTGGTTAGTGAAATGATATCAATCATACGGACAACAAGATCATGGTAACAGCCATTTTAAAATTATATATATATATATATTGCTGTTAAGTCACCTATGTAAACACTTGATTAATGTTTATATTTATCCACTGATATTTTGAAGTTAAATAATAATATAATATAATAATAATATAATATTATATAATAATATAATATTATAATAATATAATAATATACTTTTTCAAGTCGATGTGAGTGACTTGAATCTATACATTGCATAAAATGTTTCAATAAATAGAAAACATATCTGGACCTATTAACTTCTGTCTAGGACACGAAATAAAGTATTCTACTAATACATCAATAAGTTGCTGCTGAACGACAATTGTTATGACTTTATGTTCGGCTTTTTATCACGTGATTTATCCACCAATCAAAATAAGACTTATACAATCTTAGCACTGTGCCAAAACAATTACGTTCGACCGCTATGAACGACCTAGCGTCCTTATTGGTCCTATGTCCACCTAGCCCGTTCACCGAAGTCCACAACACCAATACCAGTTTCCACTATGCGAATCGAATCGTTTATTTCAGATTTACTGGGTTTATATATCAACCAAACAGATTGCAACACAGTATAAAATAGGAAATAACATTTGTACACAATAAAGCCAAAAAGTGGCTGTGAACATGGGAGACAGTGGTCAATAAACTCAACATAACTTAAGAACAGTAAATCGTACAACAATAAATTATAAGTCAAGATGAAGCTTATAATAAGAGGAATATAAATACCCATAATGTAATTATTGAATAGTTATACAATGAGAATATTAGTCCATTAATAGTCCTCAGAAGTTACTCGTAATTTAATCTTCACTAGGATATAACAACAATGAAATTAAATTTTTAAAAAATTCTCATTTCAGCATTTTCTTTTCGACAGAAGAGAAACCATCCAGAAATCAAGGATGAAGTACAGGAGATTTTTACACAAGAGAACAGTGTACAAATATGTCACTAGGAATGTCAACACTTCTTTCTTAATTAGATTTATGCAACACAAAATCTGTAAATAAACATTCTATAATTATATAATTGACCTTTAACTTATGATAAATACTATCGATTTAGACAATGTCACATACAAAACCATTATGTTGTCCGAATAAACAAATGAATAAATATTGTCTATTTCTAACGATGAAAAGGTGTTAAAACAGAATCACCAATGAGAATCAATCGATAAAGATAATTGATGAGGACTCCTGTTGATATTCAACCATATATGTCTATATAATATATGTAGCTTATTAAGAAAACAAACAGGCTGAAATATTGCAAAATACAAACATACAATAAAATATAAAATTACATCTAAACACATTCAAAAAGTAGGGGTTTAATCAAATCCAATTTAAACAACATTAATTTATAATGATTAGTAATGAGTATTGTCTCATGAATTGAATATTAAGGTTATGATTAGATTGTGTTGATATCTTGTCACCGATTCTTACAAGAGAATAAGTTAACTAATTCAGTGATTTTGTGGAGAAGTTGTGTAATTCCATCGGTAATTCCTATCATGAATGAATATCACTTGGAGGAACACTGAAAACTGTTGAGCACTCAAGACTTACCTATATAGTAGCATACGTTTTAAAGTCCTACGCAATGTACCCATTGATCCGTTGATCACTTACTTCACATACATCTATTGTCCCTGGTGATACATCAGATGTCCACCAGGATTCACTAACCAACTCTGTCCTGGGCTCTCCTTTCCAGTTTTTTCCCAAGAACTGTCTGCTTCCGTTTCCCAGTGCACTGTCTTTTGTTCTGTATTTTACTTTTATTTTTAAAATACCAGGTTAGGGCTTGCTTCGTGGAGCAACCTGCTGGTTTTCGCAATCAATAACCTATCCACCTCCAGCATCTTTTCCTGATTTCCTCTTCAGTTGGAAGCTGGTTCGTTCTCTCCCATAGTACGTTATTGCTGATAGAATCCAGTCAACGGATCTGGAGTATCTCTCACAGAAATTTGATTATAAATGCCTTTGCCTCCGCCTGGAGTTCGAATCTTACTGCCGATCTCAAGCCCAGATAAAGGGGAGTTGAGCACGGAGTTAGCAACTCAATCCCGTAAAAAGGAACCTTCACAAAAAACGCTCTTCAGTCCATAGGAGATAGTAAATCAAATTTTTTCTCAAGTTCACTGGGCAAACACGGGATCATTAAGTCGGTATTCGATTATTTAAATTAATACATGATAATATAGAACGATTCTAATTCACTATTATCGATTAGTTACTACCTTACTTATTTTAACATGTATATCGACCTAAAATACAACCATTCGTCAGCTAGACATATACCTACGCTTCATAGAATGTTAAGTGTTATTAAAATGCAAACTTAGTAAGCATGTTTTTAAAACACAAAGTGTTTTTCACTAGGTTTTCAAGAAAACTACTTGTTTTTCTTGTTAATGAAATGGAAACGACAAGTATTTCGTCAAGGCAGTTATTGTCCTCTTCATGTACCACCTTATGGTATTATTTGTTAATAACCTTATTGAATGAAAATAATCCAACATATCCAAATCTTATGGAACAAAAATTTACTTGTAAAATCTATCAATTTTATTTTTGGTATGAAACACTACTTAAGAAACTTGTTAATTTTATGGTAAAAGGTGTTTCCTTCCACATATCTTCACTAAATTGTATGATGCAGCAAAACGATATTAACAATTTATATGTAATCTAGTGTATAGAATTCGGGATACTTTTTAAAAAAAATTATTTTTAGCTATTCTAAAAATTATCATCGCATAGTGTCTGTTCAATTTACTTAAAATCTATTTTAGTCATTATTATTATTTTAACACATAAAAATCGGTACAATGAGGCACCAAATACATATGCGCCACACAAATCTCATTCGATATGTGTGAGGGCTGTGATGCTGCCCGGGTACCCAGACCGAAGCAGGTGGTTTTCTTAGGGGGCCACACCCCGAGCCTTCGACCCAAAGGTCTGATCCACAAGGCAGTGGAGCATCGTAAGGAGATGCAGTCCCATGGAAGCCGGTGACCAACAATTGGTTCATACGCCGTTTGTTCCCGCAGGATACTGGAGCCCATGTGCACCATTGGTTTGGAATCCGGTTAAAGCGCCGGACGTTCGCTTTTCGTCCTCTCATTTTCGTAAACAACACCCCCGCTACGAGAAGGCAGTGAGTAGGAATTCCCTGACAGAGGCTATATACGCGTGGCCATGTGAGAGCATTTCAAGAGGGAGAGCGGACTCTCCCCACTCTCGGCCGTACCAGGGCAATGGAATCCAGCTTCTGGCTCAAATTCAAATCGATTATTCAATCAAACTGTAAGAAAAGTCTCTCCTATTAGTAAAGAAATTTTGGAACAAAATAATACAGAATAATAATACAGAAAAGATCAACATACGTACTCTCATTAATTCACTGGAGGTAAGTCCACGTTCAGGTAGGAATGGTGCCAAACCTAATTGTTGACACATATCAGCGATTTCTCTACGTCTTAATTCAATTTTTTGTTCCATTATAAGACGTGCGGAATTCTCCTCTTTGATTACTTCGCATAGAACAGTTTCAAGTTTTTCAACAAAATGTTTTAGACGTTGTGAACGTTCCAACTTATTATAACCTGGGTGATGAATTTTTAAAATTAATAATAATAGTAACGACTAATACTAAAAAACAATATTACAATATATATATATATATATATATATATATATATATATATATATATATATATATATATATATACCTCAAGTTCATACAAACTACTTATGAAAAATATCAGTGAGTATTTGATTAAGATCTTGTGTGATGTATGAAGGAGTGTAAAACTTTCAATACAGAAAATATTGCAGGTATTCTCTTACTTAAAGTACACTAAATAGCATAAAACTTAAGTCTAAACAGTCACAACAAGTCACTGAATAACATCTTGAATTACAATAAAGAAGTTTTTAATGTCATGTCATTTGGTTGAATGGCCACAAGACATTTATTGGTTGATAGGATGTAAAAATGAGATTGATTAAAATTTATCTACTAATATTCATAGACTTACTTCAAAAACATACCAATGATTTGAAAACTTACTTGGGATTGATTTTCAAGAAATAACAGTAATCCATATATATATATATATATATATATATATATATATATATATATATATATATATATCACTTTATATAATTCAATATAGAATAATGTACTGAAAATGATAAGATTATGTGAAGTGAATACTACTGTGGTGGTACGTAGCAGGAATCGGAAGTGTAATACTTACCAGAAGAAAATTGAAGTAAGGAAAACAGAGAGTAATCGGAATAACAACAGAATTCTAAGAATGATCAATTATTTGAAGGACAACTCAAGGAAGATGTGCAAATGATGTATTTAATGTATGATTTTCATATTTTACAAAGGCACTGTGTGGTTTTGAATGAAACAACCAAGATCATTCATGAAGGGGAATTCAGTTGATTTAATTAATTAATCACCTGATTTGATATCAGAAATAAGTAGGTAAAATGTTAAACATGTGCACTCGTGCCATAATTTGACTATATACTTAATATAAAGAAGATTAAATCAATACGTTTGAGAATTTTAGTATTGAAAAGAAACTGCAGATATTGGCACTTTCGTACTATTGAAGTGAGAACTCCATTACAGTTGTACATCTCACGACAAATAGTCACTACCCTATTATTGACTTAATAGCTTAACCCACAACTATATAGTTGTTTTGCATACATCTTATTTCTCTACAGATTTCATACTCAAAAGTATTCGTCCTTACATTGAGTTTAATCTTTACTTTTTTCAGGGAGAAATGAGAATTCCAACTAACCCACACAATCTTATCGACGCGCAGAAGTATTAAAGCAAAAAATGGGGAAAAAACACATTTAACATGAAGTATTTAAATATGAATAAAGTTACTTCTTTAAAACACACGTATTTCAGAGGAAGTAAAGAATTCTTGTTATATAACATTCAATAAGAAAAACAAATCCCAGGAAATTACAATGAAAATAACATATCTCACCCACATAATCCCATATTCGTAATAATTCATTTAAACTAGGTCGAATTGATTGAATTAATTCGTTTTCCAATCCTTCTGTTTCCATTAGTATTTACTGCTTGAAATTCAATTATAGGGAAAAAAATGAAAAAGTTAGAATGAATGAAAAGGGTACCTGGTTAGAAACAAAAAGTAATTATGATAACTAAAGTCAACGTACAAATAAACTTGAACAACCAATCATTACTCTCGAATAATACATAGAGGATAAACCATAACCTGAGAATGGTAAAGGTATGTGACAGATAAATACAACACTTTAGAAAACGATTTTTAAATATCTAGTAAAACAACATGTTACTAAACTACCCAATTATATTGCGATAAGAAAGAGAGTATAGATATTAGGGTTAAAGAGAATTTTAGCTGTATTTTAATGACTTGAGAATATGTAAAATATTCAACACTGATTATTACAGAATAGATATTTATTGTAACAAAATAATAAATGGAAAAGTTATCAGGACAATTCACGAATATGTAGTTATTTTTCTCCCTGGATCTAGAATTCCGGGGTAATATTCTTACTAGAAAAAGGTTTCTGTATTCGTCAACTTTATTCAAATTTCTACGGATTGTTTATTTGGTATTTTAATAGTTGAATTCATAAGTCGATGTAAGCTAGACCACCATCGAAAACCTGGAAATACTGAACGGCCGTTTGCTTCTAGTATGGAACTCTTCAGCAGTGCGCATCCACTATCCCTCATGCGGGACTCGAAACTAGGACCTTCGGTCTCGTACGCTAACGCTTAACCTATACACCACTAAGGAGGCATCCAACGGTGTTAATGTCTAACTTCAATCAATCCATTATCTTGAGCAACCCTTCATTTGGTATTTGTATGTTTTTCAATTTTATAGTATTACTTACTTACTTACGCCTGTTACTCCTCGTGAAGGAGCATAGGCCGCTCACCAGCATTCTCCATCCAACCCTGTCCTGGGCAATCCTTTCTAGCTCCGTCCAGTTGTAATTCATCGTTTTCATATCTGCTTCTATTATCCGACGCAATGTGTTCTTTGGCCTTCCCCTTTTTCGCTTCCCTTCAGGATTCCAAGTTAGCGCTTGCCTCGTGATGCAGTTTGACGATTTGCGTAATGTATGTCCGATCCATTTCCATCGTCTTTTCCTAATTTCTTCTTCAGCTGGAAGCTGATTTGTTCTCTCCTACAGAAGGCTATTGCTGATGGTATCCGGCCAATGGATGTTGAGTATCTTGCGTAGACAGCTATTTATAAATACTTGTACCTTCTTGATTGTGGTTGTTGTAGTTCTCCAAGTTTCAGCTCCATACAGTAGAACTGCCTTGACGTTGGTATTGAAGATTCTCACTTTGATATTGGTTGAAAGTTGTTTTGAGTTCCATATGTTCTTTAACTGTAGGAATGCTGTCCTTGCTTTGCCAATCCTTGACTTTACGTCTGCATCTGAACCTCCTTGTTCATCGATGATGCTTCCTAGGTATGTGAAGGACTCTACATTTTCCAGAGTTTCGCCATCAAGAGTGATTGGATTGTTGTTTTCGTCTTTGAATTTGAGAACTTTGGTTTTCCCTTTGTGTATGCTGAGGCCTACTGATGCAGAGACTGCTGCTACACTGGCTGTCTTCATCTGCATCTGTTCGTGTGTACGTGATAGGAGGGCTAGGTCATCTGCGAAGTCCAAATCGTCTAATTGAATCCGAGCTGTCCATTGTATTCCGTGTTTTCCTTCAGATGTCGAGGTCTTCATAATCCAGTCGACCACCAGAAGAAAGAGGAAGGGAGAGAGTAAACAGCCTTGTCTGACTCCGGTCCTTACTTGGAATGCATCTGTCAGCTGTCCTCCATGCACGACTTTGCACTGTAGTCCGTCGTATGAGTTCCGGATAATGTTGACAATCTTCTCAGGAACTCCGTAGTGTCGAAGAAGTTTCCATAACGTCCTCCTATCCACACTGTCAAATGCCTTTTCATAATCAATGAAGTTGATGTATAGTGATGAGTTCCAAATTTATGATTTGGAAAAGATGTTATTTTTCAAAATGGAACTGATATTGAAAATGAGAAAATGAACTTTGTAGTCAGATAAATTAGTCTATAAGTTGATGAAAAATCTACACAACGAATCTTGTCTTACGGTTTCTTATATTTTAAATACTTTCTATATATGTCTGTTCTGTTCTGTTCAGTTTCAATATAAAAGCTAGTGCATATTACTTTGCTGCATAAAAATAAAACATTTTCCAAGCCACTTGTTGATCTATGTTCTTGTATTTATTCACGCTTGATCCCTCTTATATTACTTGTTTACTTTTTGTAAGTCACTATTATCCAGTTAAATTTCATCATTAGTTGGAACAATCAACTGTTAATTTATAATATGTATTGTTTTTTTATCTATTGTAGTAAAAACAAAATGGTAGAACAATAGCTCAATTGTTCAATTTCTTAACTTACAATCATCGAATCATAAATTTGAACTTTATTAAGCCAAATGGCAAATGTTCGAAATCTCTAGTTCTTTTCAACTAGGATATATTAAGTCTGATATATTAGTCTTTACTAAATTATTTAGTTATATTATATAAATGACGAAGTTATTATGAATTATGTACGTATGTCACTGTAACCCAGTGAATTCAGTACAAATAATGCATCACTGTTTGTGATTAAACAAAACGTTTTCTTTCTTTATTGATCAATGGACTTATCAAATGATAAATTTTACTTAAATGTTTACTTAGAGATTTCATCAAATTGGAGATTGTTATTTTAGGATTGTTTATTTACAGAAATGTTTGTACAGCCGTTCAAAGTCTATTTGATGGAAGTCGATAAAATGGAAAGAAACACTGGCTACTTAACATTTGGATACAAACAAACAAAACCTACGTAGATAGTATGTTATTTGGCGAACAATTTTTATGCAGTTGAAAAGCCATAATGTTGTATAGAGCACTAGACAATAGTTTAAACCTAATTATAAGCTCTGCAATAGTGCTTACTGCCAACGCAGGAACCCAGGAATTTTAAGTTCTGAGATGATTTATTCATCAAATTCATTTAATATGAAATATTTTATGGAACAAAATCATTAGGTATCACAGTTCATAAACTCCTTCTTTTTAAGTTTCTATGGAATGAATCATAAAGTAATGATGACTGTATACGGCTTATGAGGGATCGTTTAATAAAAGAATTATTTGAAATTGAAATGATATCAAAAGGAAATTCGAATATAAGAAAGTAGATTATATATTGTAACATGAACATTATTATATTCTCAATTATTCATGCAGACACCTTGAACATATTTTAAACAAACTAAAAAGAAAGGATGAAGTATTGCATTTTGCGATACTTAATTTTTAGCATATATATATAATTAGTTGAAATGTTTACCTTATTCAGTAATGAATATTGAACTCGAGTCACAATAGAAACATATACACTAGAATACCATGATATCCACCTGGTGTGTCCTAAACAAACTGTGATGTGAATCTTGGCAAATGTGGGGTTCAGTAAGGTCGTAAATGTGAGCAGCATAAAGCTCACTATACCGATGGAAATAGATTAATTAAATTCTGAAAGTGACATGGAAACAGAAACATCTGAAAAGTCTTTTTTGGATTTGTAATGAGTTACTTTCCGATGTTTAGAACGTACACTATTTAATCAACACTATTCCGCAAGTATATCATTGTTAAACATAACGTCGTTACTATCATTAGTATGTTAATTAAGCATATGTATTTTACATTAGTAAGGTGTACGGTAATAAAAAAAGAGTTTAATCTATAGATTAGAAACACATATACATTTATGTTCACATTCTAGCATAGTTATATGCATGCCCAAGACAGTTTGATCCAGCCTCCAATCACATAAATTGAAGTACGCTTTTTATGTTTTTCATGATATATACATATGTCTGCCTATCCTATTTTTCTTCCTTATAGCATCGATCGTAAAATGAGAGTTTTGATCAGTTCACAAAAATCCTAATTATATGGTACATTTTTATTTCAGCTGATGCTGCTAACAAAAATACGAGTTAGGTCCGAAAAATCTTGTGAACACTGAAGTATGGATGAATTATTTGAAGCAACTATTTAATACGTATATACGCAGTAATATTAGTAATAGGCAAACACTTTATTTTGCCCAGCCCTGTTGCAGGACTATCCAATAACACAAATTCATGATGCTAATTAAGAATAATTTTGTACAATCTGGATATTGAAAGATACAGTAAAGATTTATATTGATTTTTAATGCAGTTTTTATCAAATCAGATAGACAGATGAATGATCTATGATGACAGTAATGTACATCATACTAGCAGGTTATTTGTGCTATATTTGGTAAAGAAATGTTAATTCATGAAATGAAAGATATGTATTGTAAAGATAAGATACACACTGCGATATTCACTATTAAAATATTTTAAACTCAGCTCTGAAACGTGACAAAAGTATTTGATTTTAAGAAGCTTGGTAGTGAGAGTGTAAAGATGTTTAATGAATTTAAACTACTGATTAGTTCAGTAACATAGGACTAGTTATAGTGTAACAAAATTAAACAAATTTGACTGTTCTCTAAAGCTGCTCCAATAACTTGAAAAGTAATGCTATTGAGTATTCTGTATAAGCTAAATGGACGTTTTGGAATGTTTTGTTTAATATACTCAGTAATCCGTAGCCAGTATTAAATAATACTTTCCACTAATCGACAGACGACTACATGCTTTACACTACTTAACACAATTTTGGACATTACAGAATTACATGTGTGTCGATCTACGAACACCTAAACAAACAACCTTAAGATGGATTAAAAACCACCATTAGGATACACTAATTAGGCTCACTTAGAAGATAGTATTTTCAGTAAATATCGTCATTTCAGTATATTTGTGTGCGGGTTGTGATACTGCCCGGGTGCCCAGACCGAAGCAGGTGGTTTTCTCAGGAGGCCACACCCCGACCCTTTGACCTAAAGGTTTGACCCACAAGGCAGTGAGTAGAACTTGCCTGGCAGAGGCTGTATACGCGTGGTCGTGTGAGAGCATTTCGAGAGGGAGGGCGGGCCGTCTTCACTCTCGGCCATACCAGGGTATTTAGGGGCCGTAAGTCTGGTGTGAGCGAAACAATCTGTGAATATGATTGGAAGCCAATCACTAACATCCATCGACGTCTTGGACGATGGGCAGAATTCTTCGAAGGGCAGTTCAACTGGCCTGCTGACATTTTGATCAACTTTATAGTGAGACGGACAGTAATAGATAACTTAGGACCTAGGGTGAATGTGGAATAATGCCAGCTTCACACTTCCTATTGGCATGACGAGAGAGGATGTTAACAAGATGAAAAACAGAGTGGAAATAATGATGTTAACTGGAGTTGAAAATAAAACGTAGAATTTATAAATCAAAAGGAACGAGTAGAGCTGAAGAATGAAGATTATGAAGTAAAACTGAGCTAAAGGTTTAAAGGAAAGTAGAGAATGGATCCAGCTGTGCTTATAAGATTTATTTTGAAATATATTGCTTAACTTTTTCAACTATGCATTGTTACGACCTCAAACTCCCCAATCAGGAAGTCTACATTTCCCAACACATCTCAAGTTATCAATGAAGCACTTCATGGATTGATGCAATATAATTTTTTTAGACACTCTTCGACCTGTTCTAACCTACTTTTATGTCAATCGGAATAGGGCGATAAACAGTGGCAGGACATGATGTATAACATATGCCCTGACCACATTTTACGATAAAGATTCACACCTTTATCAATCAATTTGACATTTTTACGCGTATCACTATTCCTACTGTCAATACTGCTAACTTGATTGTTCTATCATGTGCAAACCATGATTAGAATACATATATAAACAAATACTTGCAATCTGGGGACATTTTCAACTTTCTTAGGTTATGTATGTTTCATAGTTGTGAAACTTTAACCCAGTGAAATAGTATGAAGTGATTTCCCCGATATATCTACAATATTTGAAGTTATTAATTTTACGTTAATATGGAAATAAAACATTCTTATTTACTGTAACAATCGAAATCTCTGTGTATTACACATGTTATAAGTATATTTATTCAGCCAGTATACTAATAAACACTAATTTTGGAATGTTACTACAGATTTAGTAAGTGGTGTCCAACCATAACGTAAATAAAAATGTACAGTTCATGTTACTTAGCTTACGTTTCATATATATACAGGAAGCATAAATAGACACATGCATAGAATTAGTGATTAGATAAACAAATAATGTTCATGCAAGTAAACATTTCAAATTTAAGATCAGATAAAATTATGTGTAAATATTACTGGACAGGTTTGTCTTGCGTAGAATTGATGGATTGAAAAGTAGTCTTCATTAATAACTGGAGAAACTTTTGAAACAAGTAAATTGCAAAGCAGCTATTTTGTCTGTTTACTAATCAATGTTCACCTATCACCACACGCAGGATAGAACTAGATTCTTCAGATTCAACGTCAAAGTGTTTAATTTAGTAGAAGTTAAATGCAAAACAGTTTTTATTTTGTTATCGAATACAGTGTGCACTATATAACCTGTCTTAGCATCCGGCTTATTAATCTTCAACTTTAAAATGAACATGTTATCTTTGAACTTAATAGCCTGTTTTCAATGGAACTGGTCATAAGATTGGAGTAGAAGCATTAACTCGTAACATGTGCCACAATATGCATAAATAGATCATTATGTTGCATTTTTTGAACATTTATCTAAAATCCTTCTAAAAACTACAAGAAATCTTCAATTCATCAGGTTGGAATTAAGATCTATCAAGATGGATATACATAATTTATATCTCGTTTGAATATATTAGTTCTCTCAAGACTGCAGATATGCCTCGCTGAATGCCAATTAGGAAATATAAATCCAGCGACTACTGCCAACCAACTAACGTTAAATGCTTACTACGAGTCAATCTAGAATTCCAGTCCTAAAAGCAAACTCCATTTTCTTTGTAATATTAGAAATGATATTTTTGACTTGATAATGAGACTTTCTGTGAGTTATCCGATTAGTAGTTCAAGAATGGGAGCAACTTCTACAGGCCTCTTCAGGCTTTTCAGCAAACATAACGAGTATTTTTACAATAATATATTTACACATTCAAATACTCACCAAAGAAATACCATAGACGCATCAAAAAACCTGAATAATTTAATGAAAGTTGTTATTCCTACTGAATTATAAACTCATGTTTTTAACTCTTTCATCGAAAGGGAACATCATTATTTTAACTAGTTGAACCGCTGAGAAATAAAAAAATACGTGAAGATTAAAAAAACAAAACCTCAACAATTAAATCTACTTCTAATGATCTAAGAGTTATTCATAATCTCTCAGACAGAAATCTAAGTTACCACAAAATCACTTCATTGTAGAAAGGATTAAATTTCAATTCATATGGTAAACCATTTAGAACTCTATAAGTTGCTCCCATTTTCAAACCGCTAATCTAACAACTGCCAGAAAGTCTCATTTATTACGTCAAAAAAAATTTTTTTAAACAAGCAAACATTCTTTCCACTTAATAAGAAATAGCATTTACTAAAATATGGGAAAAATTGGTACCATTATTTTCTTATGAAAAGAAATACATATATACTTAGTGTAATAGGATTAGTTTGTACACAATGAGAAAAAACTATAGCACATCACCTGTATATATATATATATATATATATATATATATATATATATATATATATATATATATATATATGTTTACCTGAAACTTATTTCTTTGCTTGTTAATGGCAATTAATGGTGTTAGTTTATTGCATACTGCACAATTAAGTTCATTTTTATTGAATTTTAATCGATATATTTTTCTAAACTATAAGATTTTATCAAACCTCAGGTAGTCTTTCACACATAGGTTACTATAGTTGCATTATTTATAGACCTATATTAAATGTTTACAAAACTTTGGTTTATCAGTTTAATAAAATAGAATCAATTAGTTTTAACCAACTGGACAGTATAAGGAGTCGTTCATTTCAACGTTTAATGCTTACAAAGACAAGACTATGTTACGAATATAATCTTCCCTAAAACCTGATATCAGTTGAAGTTATTGGAAACTAGAGAGTATTGGGCAGTTGTGTGATTGCAGTTTCATGCTATTTAGCAATGTGAACCAGCAAAGGTTAGAACCCAGGTATGTTAGATCTCTTAACTAGATTTCAGATCATTGAGTCAAAAAATCTAATGGTTTATATTTCCAAATACAGTGATTTTGTGTTGATTAAAAGTTCTGAACTTTAACCGCTCTCTTATAGAATTGAACTTCATTCTATCTTCTTTCATTTGGATAATCCCTTAGAATCCCTAGAATTATGACTCGAACCTAAGTATACAAATGTGCACTACTTTATTGAGTTGTTATAACCATTTAATTACTGATTGCTTACATATTAATTTTCGTTTTTGTTTTCTTACCATTGTTAATTTTATTTTAATAGAAGAAAACGTCTTAAATATAAACAATGACTTTGGAATTCATGTATAAAAAAATATTTAGGAATTATTTAACTCGATTATTAGTTAGTAATATAAAGGAGTCAGTGAAAAATATGTCAATAAATATTTAATCGCCCTTTTGCATGTTCTTACCTTGATAGATATAGTGACTCAGAGAAATATATTTTGCATGACAACAAAAATAATCAATTATAACCCGTTAAAAAATATGCTCACTTAAGTTAGAATAGATATAAGTTGATAAATGTCAGTCA